TCTCTGTAAAAAATCAATAAAATGGTTTTTTTTAAAGTATTGGACAGCAAGATATACAAGCACCCCTCCCTCCAGAGAAAATGGGCTATTGATTACTACCAGTTATAACACCCCCATCAGGGGACATCTGTGACCAAGAGGGACAGTCACTCAAAGTTCCGTTAGAAAGTTTCACATCTGGCTCTGTCACCCCCATGCATAGCTGTGGAGCATTATAAAATGGCCTATCTGCTTTCACCATGACTTTGCCACTTGCCACACAGGTTTAATCCAACTCAGAATTAAACAAATATCCCTAAAGGTCCATGAGACCTGGGGATCAGATTTTCCCATAAAGAGGAATGAAGTTCAGCCCGGCCGGGGCCACTCAGTGGTTGAGTGTCACTCTATGAACCAGTTTTTCTAATTCATCCAGGTTTTCCAGTTGCGTTTTTCTATCTTTTTCTTTTGCTACAGTTGTCATCTCTACACTGGCCAGCTCTATAGATGGAAGAAAGATTGAATCACCTCCTGAATTGAGTTAGACTAATAAAACTAACAGAAAATAGATGAGACCAGCCGAAACCGGTTTGGCTCAGCGGTAGAGCGTTGGTCTGCAGACTGAAAGGTCCCAGGTTCGATTTCGGTCAAGAGCATGTATTGTACCTTGGTTGCCGGCACATCCCCAGTAGGGGGTGTGCAAGAGGCAGCTGGTCGATGTTTCTCTCTCACCGATATTTCTAGCTCTCTTATCTATCTCCCTTCCTCTCTGTAAAAAATCAATAAAATATATTTTTTTTTAAAAAAAAAGAAAGAAAATAGATGAGATCAAATAAATGTAGATGAGCCGAACCAACAGAATATGGTGTAACAAAAAACAAAAAATCCTCAGTCACATCTTTAAAGCAGACATAATCAGACCTTAGAATGAATTTAATCCGTAGACCCCTCTGCTCTAGAAAGGGCACCAGGAAACGGGCACATTGTCCCGGGGGAGGGATGGTTTGGGGGAGGCTTCACTCTGGAGTGAATATCTTCAAAGGGAACCAGTGGCAACCAGTAGGGGGCATGTAGGAGGCAGCTGATCAATGATGTTTCTCTCATAGATGTTTCTATCTATCCCTCTCCTTTCCTCTTTCCCTAAAAATCAATAAAGTCATATTTTTAAAAATAAGCATATCCACGTACCTAAACATTAGATTGAGATCTTATTTTAAAAAAACAAACAAACAAAAAACAACCAACAACACAAAATTCAAGAAGGTAAAATATGCCCTAAGCGGTTTGGCTCAGTGGCTAGAGCATCAGGCTGCGGACTGAAAGGTCCCAGGTTCAATTCCAGCATGTACCTTGGATGTGGGCACATCCCTAGTGGGAGGTATGCAGGAGGCAGCTGATGGATGTTTCTCTCTCATTGATGTTTCTAACTTTTTATCCCTCTCCCTTCCTCTCTGTAAAAAAAATCAAAGTATATATAAAAAAAGAAATAAATAAAAAATAAGGTAAAATATGAAAAAGACGATGAATACTGAAGATATTAAGTATAAAATCAATCAAACAAAACTATAGTAAGTATAGTTATAAACAGAATACAACTGTCATAAACAATCCTTAACACATTGTATTTTTTTTAATTGAAGTTTAAAACTCCAGGTTATACTATAATAAACTTGGGAACTACATGAGGCAGAGGAAGTCAGGGAGGAGAAATATGAGAACGTAGAAGTCCCCAATATTCTTAATGTACAAAGATAATATTTTTAGTCTCTATGCTAATACTTAGAAAAACTGCAAGTGTTATTTTAAAACAAAATGTATGCCTTCCAAAGTACTAAGGGGGAAAATAAGAAACATACAGTCAATATAGAAAAAGGAGGGGAATGAAAACCAGATACACAAAATAAGAGAGAGCCAAAATTAAACCAAACCAAAATATTTAATTTTATTGATATAGAATATAGCATGCAACAAAGACATATGAATCATTTTGTACTGAAAAAGTAGAAATTAGACCACATGTAGCCCTCAGAAATAGAAGATGTGAAAAGAAAAATAGTAGTAGTAAGAGACTTTAAAAAGCCTCCTTCAATTCTTGACAAATAAATAGAATACAAAAACATAGAGGACCTGAATGCAATTTGTAAGTCTGACTTAATGGACATGTAATGGAGTATTAAATTAATATTTCCTATATCATAAACACAATGACTGCCCCTTGCCCAGAGAAGTATGGAGTCTTGGATAAGTGTTTTTTGTGAACTAAGTTTTTCACCACAGTATTATTTTATTGTAACAACCAAGCAAACAGAAAAGGCAGACTAGTGAAATAAACTATGGATGTCACAGAATCAGTAAAAATGTTGTAATATCTTCAGCATGAGAAAATGCTCATGGTATTATATGTTTAAGTACATAGCAACATATGTTGCGTATTGAACCCATTTTGGGGAAACTGAAAAAGTATGTTTGCCTGGGTATGGGTGCAGAACTGTGTGACCACAAATAAGAATGAGTATCCCAGACTTAAAAAAATACAGCAGAAAAGCTGGCAGCAGGGCTCAGTTGTTGAGCATCGATCTGTGAACCAGGAGGTCAGGGTTTGATTCCCAGTCAGGGAACATGTCCGAGCTGAGGGCTTTGACCCCCAGTGTAGGGCAAGCAGGAGGCAGCAGATCAATGATTCTCTCTCATCATTGATGATCCTCTCTCTCCCTCTTCCTCTCTGAAATCAATAAAAAATATATTTTTTTAAAAAAAATTCCAGTATTGGGCTCCTTTGAGACCATCTGACCACAGCCATGGGGGTAAGTCACACTTAGTGATGAAGGTGGGGCTTCTCTAAAATAAGGAAAAGTTCTCACTGGTAGTGTCCTGAGCAGAGGTTAGTCCTGGAGCAAGAAGGGGTGGGGAGGCAGGGTGAGCTTTGGGCCCCGCTCAGGCCCAGAGGGCGGGACACCCAAAGGTAAGTGTTGAGAAGCTCAGAAAGTTCTTAGGGAAGAGCATGCACATCTTTTACTTTTATGTGTGGCTTTCAATGTATATATTCAATTTTAAGTTTTCTATTATTCTTCCCTTTTATTCACAAATTATATGGATCAAATTAATTCTGTATGAGAATCATGTTAGTAGGGAATCCTCTGAGTTTTAATAAATGGGGGAAAAATTTAATGTTGCATATTTTAAACAAAGCCTCTGAGTCTTTCCAACTTTATATAACCATCAGTCTTTTTATTTCCTTTTTTTTAATTATTTATTGTTGAAAGTATTGCATATGTCTCTTTTTATCAGTCTGTTTATTTCCATGAGAATAATTGGCAACCATGAATTTTAAGCTGATTAATAATAAAGAAAACTCTGAGTGGAAATTCATAATAGTAATAATGGGTAAAATCATTGCATACTTAATAAAAAGCACGTAGTTTTCTTAAAGTTTTAAGTATATTACTTATTTATTCCTAGTAATAACTTTATGAAATAAGCTACTATTACTTTCCCTCTTTTTGAGATGAGGGAAATAAGGTGCAGAGAGTGAAGTTGCTCGTACAGGGATACATACTTCCTTAAAGCTTCATTCCTCAGCAATCCGGCCTGGAGAACAGCCAGGCACTTGATTCAGAGGGAACTCTAACTTAGCTGAACCAATCAAGGTCCAGGACAGGACAGCCTAAGTGAGCACCACGCTCAGCATATCCAAAATGAGGCTGTAGCCTGGCTAGCGTGGCTCAGGAGTTGAGCCTCGACCTATGAGCCAGCAGGTCACGGTTCGATTCCCATTCAGGGCACATGAGAGATTTTCACCCATATTGATCTATGTACATATTTCATTTGTGCATTAACACATCATTCTTTTTCATCTGTGGTACAAAGAATGCAGCACTCTATGTATGGAGTACCATGAGGGTACCTGGCACGACATTATCACTCCCTTGCTGGAGATGGAGGGCTTTGTTGTTGTCATCACATCAGAAATTTACTTGGTTAGCTGTATTTGCTAAAAATCTCACCTGCCTTTCCACTCTTCCCTCATCTTATCTGTGACGTTGTTTGTGGAGCCAAGTATAAGGCGTAACAGTTAGAACACAATGCCTGGCTTATGGTCTCATTATAACAATCATTATTAACTTCATCTTATTAGCTATGACCACTGTGACCATTACAAAAAGGAGTTACCACTTAAAATGTTAGATCAGCCAAAACCGGTTTGGCTCAATGGATAGAGCGTCGGCTTGGGGACTGAAGGATCCCGGGTTCGATTCCGGTCAAGGGCATGTACCTTGGTTGTGGGCATATCCCCAGTAGGGGGGTGTGCAAGAGGCAGCTGAGATTGATGACTCTCTCATCGATGTTTCTAACTCTATCTCTCTCCCTTCCTCTCTGTACAATATCAATAAAATATATTTTTAAATAAATAAATAAATAAAATATTAGATCAGCCCCACCCACTTCAGCTTTACAAGTGAAAATACTACCTTGCATTACCACTGCTTCTGGATTTTCAGATCACAGCATCATATATATATATATATATATATATATATATATATATGATGTGTGTGTGTGATTTTTATGTTTATATAATTTTATATATAATTTTATATATATAATTTGAAATTTTATATATATATACATATAAAATTGATTTTTTACAGAGAGGAAGGGAGAGGGATAGAGAGAAACACTGATGAGAGAAACATCCATCAGCTGCCTCCTGCCCATATTGGGGATGTACCTGCAACCAAGGTACATGCCCTCAACAGGAATGGAACCTGGGACCCCTCAGTCCTTAGGCCAAAGCTCTATCCACTGAGCCAAACCGGTTAGGGCAAGACCACAGTATCTTATCTCTCCAACCCTTTCAGCCAGGCTACCTCCAATCAAGCCCCGCTTCCAGAATGGTGTCTGCCTGGCCCCGCCCTCATCTCCTAGGCAACCCGCGTCCGTCCCGCCCACTCCTGGACGGAGAAGCAGTCGGTGTCGCCGCTGATTGGCTGGCTCGGGCGCAGCTTGATGGCGTCAGGCTGAGCGGCCCCGGTCCCTGCCAGCCGACGCCCCGGGCGAAGGCCACAGATGTAAGGGGCCGGGGCCCCAGCTGCTGCGGTCTCGGGCTCAGGCAATGGAGGCGCGCGCTCTGCCCGCACGTCGCCATGAGTTTCCTAATAGACTCCAGCATCATGATCACCTCCCAGGTGAGCCACGCCTCCGGCCCGGACCTCGGCCTCGCTGGTCCGACCACAGAGTCGTCTTCGCGCCGCTCCGACCGTTCGCGGAGCGCGGGGAGGGTTCGGGGTTTGTCGCGTCCGTCCGGGCGTCCGCCACTGTGGTCGGGAGGCGGCCTGCGGCGGTCGCGCCCCGCCCGGCCTCCATCCCTCTCCCTCGGTCCACTTTCTCGTCCGGTTTGGGAAGGGGTCGGGCGGCCGCAGCGCGCAGAGACCGGAGCGGCCCCCGAAGGTTCCGGTGAGCCCCGGACCCCTGAGCTGGGGAGCGCGCTTCCGGCGCCGGGCGCGGCGGCCAATGGGAGCGGCTCCTGGGGACACGTGGGCGGCGCGGTTCGTGGTCAACGTGAATCCGGGTGTGGACGGGTCTGCGCCGTCCCTGGAGAGGTTCACAGCGCGAGGTTTTCTTTGTGCGTGGACACAGCATTCGTCCTCTCCTCCTTCTAGTTCATAGCTGAATGGGGGTCCCCTCACGTGCAAGCTTGGGAGTCTTCCCTTTTCTTGAATTTTTTGGAATAATTTGAATAGAATAACGTGTTAGTGCTTCTCTGAATGTTTGGTTCAATTCGCCCGTGAAGCCATTTGGTCCAGGATCTTTGTCTGTTGGAAATTTTCTAATTACTGCCATAATTACACTAGTTGTAAACTGTCTACATTCTCTGATTCTTCCTGATTCAGTTTTGGAACATTGTATGTTTCTAGGAATTTGTCTGTTTCATCCAAATTGTCCAATTTATTAGCATATAGTTGTTTTTCATATTTTCTTTTGTTGTTGACTGTATTATAGATGCAGTTTCCCTCAGCCACCAACCCTTGCACGAACCCAGGCCTTCATCACATTGTGTGCACTGGCTATGCATATACAGTATACGCATATGTTATTAATCTCTTCCAGTCTGCCCCACCCCCGTCCATTCTGAGATCTGTCAGTCTGTTCCATGCATCCATGTCTCTGCACTATTTTGTTCATCAGTTTATTTTGTTCAATAGATTCCAATATAAGTGAGATCATGTCATATCTCTCTTTTTCTGACCGGCTTATTCTGCTTAGCACAATAATCTCCAGATCCACTTATGCAGCCTCAAGGATAAAAGGGCCTTCTTTTTGATAGGCACATAATATTCCATTTTGTAAATGTACCACAGCTTTTTTATCCTCATCTGCTGATGGGCGCTTGGGCTGTTTCCAGATCTTATTGTATCATAGATAACACTGGTCTAAACATAGGGGTGCATATATTCTTTCTGATTGATGTTTTAGGATTTTAGGATATATTCCCAGAAGTGGGATCACTGGGTCAAGCGACAGTTCCATTTTTAATTTTTTGAGGAAACTACACTGTTTTTCATGGTGGCCGCACCAGTCTGCATTCCCATCAGCAGTGCACTAGGGTTCCTTTTCCTCCACGTCCTCACCAGCACTTGTTTATTATTTACTGACTAGAGGTCCGGTGCACGAAATTCATGCGGGGGTGATGGTGTCCCTCAGCCCATACTGCACCCTCTCCAATCTGGGACCCCTCAAGGGATGTCGGACTGCTGGTGGGATCGGGCCTAAACAGGCAGTCGGACATCCCTCTCACAATGAAGGACTGCTGGCTCCCAACTGTTCGCCTGCCTGCCTTCCTGATTGTCCCTAACCACTTCTGTCTGCCAGCCTAATCACAGGTCTTTTACAATAGCTCCTTGGTTAAGTTTATTCCTAGGTATATATAATATTTTTGCTGTTGTTGCAGTGGTAAATGGGATTGTCTCTGGTTTTCCTTTCTGAGAGTTCGTTATTGGTGTGTAAAAATGCCATCGATGTTTGGATGTTTATTTTGTACTCTGTTACTATGCCAAAGTCATTTATTAAATCTAGTAGTTTTTGGTGGAAACTTTGGGTTTTCTATGTACAATATCAATAACAGTTTTACTTCCTTCTTTTCCATTTGGATGCCTTTTATTTCTCCTTCTCTGATCACTATGACTAGCACTTCCAGTACTGTGTTGAATGAGACTGGTAAAAGTGGACATTCCTATCTTGTTCCTGATCTTAAGGGAAACACTTAGTTTTTGCCCATTGAGTGTTATGTTTGCTGTAGGTTTGTCATATAAAACCTTTATTATGTTGAGATATGATCCTTATATTCCCCCCTTGCTGAGATTTTTATAAATAAGTGCTGAATTTTGTTAAATGCTTGTCTACATCCATTGATACCATTATGTGATTTTTATCCTTCATTTTGTTTATGTAATGTATCACTTTTATTGATTTGTGAACATTGTACCAGCCTTGCATCCTCAGAATAAATCCCACTTGATCATGGTGTATGATTTTTTAATGTATTGTTGGGTCCCATTTGCTAATTTTTTTTGGAGGATTTTAGTATCTATAGCATATTCATCAGGTATGTTGGCCTATAATTTTCTTCCTTTATGGTGTCTATCTGGTTTTGGATTTAGAATAATGTTGGCCTTGTAAAAAGAGCTTGGAAGTCTTCCTTCCTCTTGAACTGTTTGGGACAGTCTAAGGAGGATAGGTGTTAGTTCTTTGAATGTTTGGTAAGACCCTGTGAGGCCATCCAGTCCAAGGCTTTTGTTTGCTGGGTATTTTTTATTTTATTACTGCTTCAATTACATTAATTGTTATTGGTCTATTTGGATTTTATGATTCTTCCTAATTGAGTTTTGGAATATTTTATGTTTCTAGGAGTTTGTCCATTTATCCAAGTTGTCCAAATTTTTGGTATTTATAGTTGTTCACGGTATTTTCTTACAATTCTTTATATTTCTGCGGTGGCTGTTTGTTACTTTGCCTCTTTCATTTCTGATTTTATTTATTTGGGTCCTCTCTGTTTCTTGATGAGACTGACTAAAGGTTCATCAATCTTATTTATCTTTTTTAAGGGCCAGTTTTTTATTTCATTGATCTTTTATTTTTTAGTCCTTTATTTCTGCTCTGATCCTTATTATTTTCTTCCTTCTGCTTCCTCTGAGCTTTTAGTTGTAGTATTAGATAACTTATTGGAAATATTTCTTATTTCTTGAGATAGACCTGTAATGCTAAAGATTTTGGATTGTTTTGTGTTCATTTTCATTATTTCCAGGAAGTTTTTAATTTCCTCCTTTATGTCTTTGCCAACCCATTCATTGTTTAACGACATGCTCTATTTAGCCTCTATATGTTTGAATGTTTTTGAGAGTTCTTATTGTAGTTGATTTCTAATTTCATACCATTGTGATCTGAGAAGATGATATGATTTCAAACTTCCTTAAACTTATTTTGTGTCCTTACATGTGGTCTGTCTTTGAGAATGTTCCATGTGTACTTAAGAAGAATGTATATTCTGCTGCTTTGGGATGACTTGTTCTGTAAATATCAATTAAATCTATTTGATCTAGTGTGTTATTTAATGTCACTGTTTCCTTGTTGGGTTTTTGTCTATAAAATCTATCTAGTGATGATAATGAGGTATTAAAGTCCCCTGCTATTCACTATATTGCTACCAATCTCTCCCTTAAAGACCTCTAAGAATGTGTGTGTGTGTGTGTGTGTGTTAATATATTAGGGGCTCTTATATTGGATGCATATATGTTTACTATGGTTATAACCTCTTGTTGGATCGATCCCTTTAGTATTACACAGTAACTTTCTTTGTCTGTTGTTATAACTTTTGTTTTAAAGTCTATTTTGTCAGATATAAGAAAAATGACAATATTTAAATAACTTTTCTAATACTTTTTTAAATCGAATTTATTTAAACAATACAACAAAATTTAATCAACAATATAGTTGCCGTTGTTTTCTACTACTTGTGCCCAACGCTCAGGAAGCATTTTAATCCCTCTGTTGTAAAATTCTTGTGATTTTGATGCAAAAAATTCGGTCAATGCATTTTTGAGGCATTCTTCATTATTAAATTGTTTTCCAAGAAGAAAGTTTTGCAAAGAACGAAACAAATGGTAATCGGAAGGGGCAATATCAGGAGAATATGCAGGTTGAGGGAGAACTTCCCATTCCAACTGGCGCAGTTTTACAGCAGTGATTCTTGCAGTATGCGGTCATGCGTTCTCGTGGTGAAGAATTACGCCCTTCCGATTAATCAGCGCGGGTTCTTTTTCTCTTAAAGCTTGGGCTAACCTTTCCAGTTGGGCACTATACACTGCACTTGTAATGGTTTGGTTAGATGGTAAAAGTTCATAATGAAGAATTCCTTTAAAATTCCACCAAACACACAACATCACTTTTTCCGCATGCAAGTCAGGTTTTGGCGTGGGCTGCGGAGCCTCATTTTTGTCCAACCATTGAGGCCGCCTTTTCAAATTAACATACAGCACCCATTGTTCATCTCCCGTAACAATTTGCTCTAAAAACGGCAAACGGTTTTGACGAGAGAGGAGCGAACTGCAAATTGTGACTCTTTGATTACTGTTGTTGTCGGTCAACTCATGAGGAACTCATTTTCCAAACTTTTGGACTTTGCCAAGTGCACGCAATTGATTGGAAATTGTTTTTTGTGAACAATTTAAAGTTGTCGCAAGCTCTTGTTGGGTAATTTGAGGATTTTGCACCAAAAGAGCTTGAAGAGCTTCTTGATCAAAATTGGACACACGGCCTCGACCACTCTTGTCATCTAACGAAAAATTTCCCTCGCGAAATTTCTCAAACCAACGCTGGCATTTTCTGGCGCTAACTGCATCTTGACCAAGAGCACTACAGATGTTTTTTGCAGCCTCACTTGCTTTTCTTCCTAATTGGAACTCGTAAAGCATGCAGTGCCCAATATGCTCTTCATCCACCATCTTCTTAGCCCTAGTTTTGCAACAAAAACCAAACCAAACACAAATTTTTTCAAGCAAAACTTGTTAATTGCACTTCACACGTTCTGTAGATACCACGTGTTTGAAGGTTATGTCAATACAAGTCAATGCCAAGCAAGATTTTAAACGAATGTTTAAAAACGACATTAATTATTACTAGACCCAATACT